TTATTATTATTATTATTATTATTATTATTATTATTATTATTATTATTATTATTATTATTATTATTATTATTATTATTATTATTATTATTATTATTATTATTATTATTATTATTATTATTATTATTATTATTATTATTATTATTATTATTATTATTATTATTATTATTATTATTATTATTATTATTATTATTATTATTATTATTATTATTATTATTATTGTTATTATTGCTGTTATTACTGTTGATATTATTTATTATTTACAATTATTTAAATTATTATTTTCTTATTATTAACATTATTTATTAGTTAAAATTATTTAAGTTATTATTTATATTGCTGAATGAACAAAAGTTACACTTTCAATTTCGCTAAATTTATGATCTTTTCAGGGTTACTTCAAGTTTATTTCGAATTTAAATTAAAATTTTCAACGAATCTTTATCAGTTTTTTCCTTTTTTTTGAATATGAAATGTAATTATAAAAATATTGAAACAAACGATTTATGCATTTCCCATTCGAACGGTAAATCGTCTTTAAATTTGACAATTTTAAAAATTGCACTCAATTGCTGGTAATTTGGCATAGTAGTGGTATCTAGCGATAGTATATGCTAAATGTTCGTTCAAAAAGTTAAGGTATTTTCCAATTTTTATCGCTTTGAAATTTCAAAATATTTGAAACATTCCGATTTTAATAGAAATGAAATTATTGCAAAAATTTGAATTCGAGATTATTTTAAGTTTATTTAGAATTTATTTTTATCTGGAATTTAACTATTCTTTTACCTTTTTTTGAATATTAAACGTAATTGAACTATAATATTGGAACAAAAGCATTAATGTTCCAATTAGAGATATTAATTGATTCATTAAATTTTCATTAAATTGCTCTTTTCCTTTTAAATGGTTTAAATTTCCTTTTTTTTGGTAAAAACATAACAATTGCTCTTAAATTTAAAATATTCACTTTTGAGAGAGATAGAAATTGAAATTTAATAAATCAAATAATTAAAATCAAACGTATTTTTGCAGTTATCATTTCTAACTTTAGCAAATTCCAATGATATATTCGGTTGATTTTTGCATAAATTTTCTAAAGTTTCATTTCTTTTTGCTTGTTCGATATCTTTTGCAGTAATTAGATTGCTCCATGGTAGTTTTCCGTTAATTAATTCAATCTGATAATTAAATGTTTGAGTAATTTTGTTCTTGTAAATTGAACCAATTCTTCCATCTTATTTGCAATTATTAAATTAATTTTTTTTAATTCAATTTTTTTAAGCAATACGAAATCAGAAAAGAAATGCAGAATAATGATAAAAGAGACCAAAGGTCAAAGATCAGAGATAAAGAAAACAAACAAAAATGTAAAATTTTCAGCAATCCTAAATTTTAATAATAATAAATGATTGATCGATTATGCAAATACCATTGAATAAAACCATGCGATTAGATCATCACGTGGACCAGTTTCAGCACGTGAATGTACTGTCAATGATACGTAACGTAACGTACCACGGAAACCTGCACGATTACGTGGCTTTCGAATTCGGCCATCTATTTCGGTAAACATTCGCGCCATACCTTTTTAATAGTATCATTAAATTCATTTTATTAATGGCGCATTTTATCATTTATATTTTTAAAATTCATAAAAATTTGTAGACAAAAAAAGTAAAATTTGAGGATTTTAAAAAATTTAAAATGGAATTTACCATGATCAAGAAGATAAATTATTCGTTTCTGTGCTCCTCTACCAGTGCAAATATTTGATGGTTTAATATTACGATGTAAAAAGCCTGCAGTATGCATGTCATGCAGAGCACTTATAACCTGCAAAATAATATCTCATCAAGGTGTTATTAAATTGAGAACAAAATTACTTTTACTTTACTTTTACTTGTATGGATATCCGATAAACGGTTATTGGTTGTAATCGTTTAGGTGGATACTGTTCACGTATATCAGCTAAATTACGACCAACAAGATCCATGACAAGATATGGCACATTATGAATTTGTCCCATACCAATTAATGGCACGAAATGATTCTAAATCAATTAAGTACAATGAAAAATTTTAATTTATAATATCATTTACAAAATATTTCACATTTTTTAAAAAAGAAAAAAATTATGTTGAAGAAGAAATGTAATGTATAAGAATACTGTAATATTATGCAAATATGTTGCAATATTGTAAGAGTACTGTAATAATATTACATGTGATGCAAAATGGATTGAAATTTCTTATATTTTTCTTTTTCAAATTTCATAAAAATATAATGTCAAATAAAATATGTATGGTACGTGATGTAAAGAAAAAAAAGAAACTTTGAAATTTTAAAATATTTATCCAATTATGGCAGTAATTGTTAAGTAAGTAATTGTAAGTAATATCTTTTTTTTAAAAGAATAAAAATAAAAATCATTTCAAATTTGATAGAAGAAACAAACAAACGAATTAATTTTACTTAATTACTCGATTGTTTACTTAATTACCTGGCTCATATTATTATAAGGTAAATTTTTACCTTTCCACGTAGTAAAGTTAAAACCATTTGTTCAATTTTCATTCGTCTTGGATCCAATTTAGGTGTTGCAATTTTTACTACTACCGGTCGAGATTTAACATTATCATAAGCACTGGAAAGAATCCAAAGTATGGTTACAGTACTAATATGAACTAATTCTATTGATTCAATTTAATTACAACTAATTATTTACCTAATTATTATTATTTCTTGCACAATAAAAGCATACTGTAATTTATATACCAGCTCGTTGTAAAGCATTTCGCAAGTTATTCGTATTTATTTCTACTTTTATAATATTAAGTAATAAACAAAAAACAGTGTAACTTCTAATTCGGAATTAATTTAACACAAATTAAGGTTCAAAAATTTGTTTATATTAAAGTTTAATCATTACAAATCATTCTATTTGTAGCATTAAGTATTATATTAGTTTTAACAAATATCTAATTTCTTTTTTTACCGATTTTATTTTATTTTTCAATTAATAGTCAAATTAGGGATACAAAATCAATTCAAAAATCAATAATTAATAATTTAGTTAATGCCAGTTAATAATTTACATTAAAAAATATATTGAGGTTTAAAAATTAATATGTATTTAAGTTTAAATATGACAAATCATCATAATTGTAATATTAATACTAATTAATCAGTAATAAATTTTAGAAGGTGATTAATTACTGTATAGTAAAGTATTGTATATGTATAAAAATTATTGTATATGCATAGTAATTGATAAGTTAAATTAATAAGAAAATATTTGAAATATTTACCGATAGATTTGATTATAATTGCTATGGCTTATTCTTTTTTCGATTGTATACCTATTACGAAGTATTTCACCAATTTTCAACATTTCAACAACTTTCGATCCTTTCTTATCATCGAGTTGATGTAAATTCCCTTCAATAGCTTTCATTATTTGTTTAATTAATATTCAAACTTAAAGCAATAAAAAAATTTAAATTTCAATGAAAACTTTTGAATTAATAAGAAAATTATAAAATTTCAATATAAAAAAATTTGCCTAAATTAACAATGAGCATATGAAAGAAATCATTCTCATTTTTTGTTCTCGGAAAGTAATTTCCCGAAATGCTTGATAGGAGACAATTTCTCGGATGATAAAAGGAAATTTTCCGTATTGTAGAAGACAATTTTTCAAATGCTTATTTGGTAGGAAACAATTCTCCAGGTGCTTATTTAATTATTGGTCAGTATACTAATGTATTCTTTCTTATTTTTTTTTCTTTGTTTTTGTTGTTATTGTCGATAACAAAGAAATTTTAGCAATTATTGTTTGACCATAAAAATTTTAATCAAACTTCGTTTTCTAATTTAAAAACTTTAATCAATCTAGAATTCACACCTGTAGTTTCTGCGGTAATTTGGTTCTTTACGGAAGTTTTGGTTTGAACAGACATTTCTGCAAAAGTTTTCTCTAAAGATGATTTAATTGCAGATATTGTCCTGGAAAGCTTTGAAATTTTTAATTACTCTACAAATTTTAATGAACATTCAGACGATTTTTTGATTTGGTCAAATCTTCTATATTGCCATAATTCCTCAAAGTTACTGTAATGATATCATTGATGAAATGATGGGATGAAGTAACGAACTGTTTAACTCGATTACTAGTAGATTAAATGATAATCTCATTCAAAATGATATACCAATTTAAATGTAAATTATCATAAAATGTAAATTATCAAATTCAAAATATTTTTTATTGAAAAAAAACTATTCAACAATTATATTCAGGGCAAAATTAAAAATTTGAAATTTGTTGGTAAATCTAACGTTTGTATGTAATTGTTGGTAATTAATAGCAATTAAATAAATAAAAAATTCAATCAGTTTGTTTTTTTTTTTTGTTTTAATAATGGCAAAATATCTAATAGACGAATTATTTCTTCAAAAAAAAGAGAAAAAACACTAGAGATAATCTAATTAGGGTTAGTATTATTTACCGTATAATCCGATAGAATGGACGAAAGAAAGGTAAAAATACAGTAAGTATAACTTAAATAGGACTGATATTATTTACCGTATCATCTAATGAATATTGATAAATAATCTTAAACGTATTTCACACTGGTCAACCATAATCTTTTTACTTACAATCTTTTTTTTTGTCTTCTGTATGGATGATACATAAAATTCTTTACAGTCCTTCTGAACATAGAATTCATCCCATTCCTTCTTATGGATGATACATAGAATCCTTTCCAGTCTTTCTGAGCACAGAATCCGTTTCTTTCCTTTTCATGGATGGCACATAAAATTCTTTACAGTCCTTCTGAACATAGAATTCATCTCATTCCTTCTTATGGATGATACATTTTCAGTTTTTCTGAACATGGAATCCATTTCATCGCTTCTCATGGATGATACATAGAATCCTTTTTGGTCCTTCTTAAGACACAATTCATCCCTCCTTTGCTTATGAATAACTATTGAATATTGCTTCTTTTCAATTTTACTTTTTTTTGCATAAATGATTTCTCGATCACAATATAATCATTACCATTTACAATATAATCATTTAACTTTTTCGGATTGAATCTATTAATGGAATGTTTCAATAAATTATTTCCATAATAAATTCATAATAAATATAATAAATTATTTTCATTTATCAATCGATCTGTTTGAAATTGGATACCACAATAAACAACAATTAGTCCTTTTTACTATTCTATCTATCTGTTTAGATCATTTTTTGATACTTTTCGAAATGCTTTCATCTATCACTATGATAGAATTACTACTCTTTATTTTCCTATAATAGATAAATTTCAATTCATGAAGTTTTTTTCCTTTCAACGATTATTACAATAATAAACAAATACAACAGTAATTATAGTAATAAACAAATATAACTGTAATTACAGTAATAAACAAAGTACCATACGTCAAATACGACTGTAATTACAGTAATAAACAAAGTACCATATGTCCATATGTCACCCAAATCATTAGCGTATATTTTCAAAAATTTCAAAAGTATTTCAATTTCTCGTTTTATTTTCCATTGTATTTTCCCTTTTATCTTTGATCACTGTTAGTATTTTTATATTTCTAATTGAAATTTCATGCTAATTTAGTTGTCGGAACATAATTAACTACAGTAATTTCTACAGTACTTTTATAAAATATCAGAATTTAATTCCATTTAAATTATTTATAGTTGTAAAAATAACCATCGTTAAAATAATGAACGCTTTTATCCTATTTGTAGTATAACTTACTTATCATTTCCTTATCATTTGTCTGATTACTTTCAATTAGTCCGATAAAAGATTTAAATAAACCTTTCTATTATTT